CTGGAAATCACCACCCCTGCAGTTAACTCATAACATGCGCTCTTGGAGGCGGCCAAAGCACAAGAAACTTCGCTTCCTCCCCAGGAATGGCAGGGGACGAAATCTGCTGCATTGTTTCTGTTGAACAATCCACGATGTCTCTGTTATTGTTGGCGTGGAAGGGGAAGAGCTTCCAGGCTTCGGCGGGAGGCTCTTTCTCTGATCTGATGTCACCGGTTGATATATCAACATGTTCACCTTCGCTTCAGTGTGCGATATGGCAGTCGGTCAATCGATCGTTTACTTTTATTCATTCATTCATTCATAGCATATCATATTGGTGCATCCAGTCTTCTTGCGCTCTGTTTATCTTGTCAGCTATCATGGTGGCCTAACTGCTCCGCATGCGCTGCCATATGTCCATCGAATACCTTGAAGCCCATACAGCTTATGGTTCGTTGTGGCTGTCCTTCTAACTAATGGATTAAGAAACTATCGTTACGATTTATCTTTGCCATTTTAAGTCTTGGCCCTGGGGTTGCTCTCAGTGTTGTCGTTGACTTTTGGAACTCCGCTGGAACGCTCGCAACATTCTAGCCACCTCGTAAGTATCCCATGAAATCGCACCAGGAACAACTCAACACGCCTATTACACTTTCGCACCGACTGTCCAAGCCTGCCAGGGAGGACTTTTCATATCTCGGCGTGTCAAGAATAAGGTGTCCGTTACTCTAACTGCGATCCTGCACCCCTCACCTAGAAAATATCTACTAGTTCGGTCCGGATATTCCGCAAATTCGAAGTAAATCAAGGGTACGGCTTCAAGGGAATGCGTCTGATTGATCCAATTACAACAAAAATATGGCACCTATTCATAAAATACCCTTACAGACGAGGCAGACGCACGTCCTACCACCTCGCCCGGCTAATGGCCCTCCAGGAGAAGCCGTACCGGTAACAAGCTTCTTTCGCTGGAAAACCTTATTGTGGATCATGATTGCTACTGTTTGTATTTTCGTACTTACTGTTTATTTTTGGAAATTTGGTGCATTTCTCCGCCACTTCACTAGCCACAGGATCTTGGATGGTAATCCTAAATCCACTCGATATGCGAAAACCTGGCATGGTTGGGTGCCTTTGGATAAATACGAGAGAAAGAAGGCTTGGAGAAAAGAGAAATTTAGGAAATTTCGTCGATCGGTAGCGTGGAGGTCGTCTCATGCTGATTATAACTGGGTGTGGTGGGATCCAAAAGGTGCTGCGATGGAGCAGCATTTCGAGGACCAAAAAGTGATTCGCTGGCTTCCTCGCTGGTTGAAAAGTTATGAACATGAGAAAGCAGATTTAATATCGAAAGCGCATGCTAGGAATCAAACAACACGCCCATCGGACGGGAACATGAAGCGAAAGCCAGGGTTACGACATTCGATGAAAACTTCGGCACAGGTTATAAAGTCTAGAAATCGCCCACTACGGAGCAGGTTACCGTTATCCCTTGATGGCTATAGTGACGGTATAATCCCGTCAATGTTGTATAATAGTCTAAGTCGAACTTCTGCGAAGAGGGGCCCCTATCCGTCTCCAAGCTCTCGGGGTGCGGTACGTCTCCGGCAAGGAATGGTTATTTCGCTCCCAGCTGCGCTGAATCAACAAATACCGAAACCTGACTTCCCACATTGCGGATTGAGGCGATGCCCCTCTCTATCGAGTCTTCCCCAAAATTTGGGTACCGTTGATATGAGGTACGCTCCCGAAGCTCGCAGGAAGACAGTTTCAGAAGGCTTTCAAGGGGATGCAGTTCATTCGACACTTTCTTCAAAACTATATGAGCCTCACCTCCGAAGAGTTATTCCGACTGACGAAGGACAAATCAATGTCGGTGGCCCTCAAGCCGTGGTAAAAACGGACAAATCTCTCAGTTGGAAGTACAAAGCATGGGCCGCAAAAATGCAAATCCATACTTTTGAGCAAAGCCCTCATTCCCTCCATGGCCTGGTTGGGCGACCTGGAAGTCCACTATCCGGAATCCTGAAGGCTATGAGTTCTTCCGCCCATCATTCTGAGTTTTCGGAGCATTATAACAATATCCCAGCGCATAACCACGGCTCTGGGGCATCCGCAGCTAGCATCAGCAACCCTGGACCCTCAAAGCTGCACGTGCTCGCTCCTCGCATACAACGTAGAGCTCCAAGAGTCCATACATCTAACATCTCTGACGCATCGCTCGACATAACACCTGTAGATGGCATCCTGGATGTAGACCGATCACCACTTACCCAGAATATAAACCAAGACAACACAATGAGACATTCGTGTAAGTACAACACTAAACATGTCCAGCGGCAATCATTATTACCGAACGAGAAAGAGGACATTTCCCTGCAACAACCACTTCATCCCACGGAGAACAAAGCTGTCTCATTCCAACTCTCAAAACCCCACCAGAACGCAAAGAACGGATCGTGGGCAAATCCACGGCCTAGATTGAGCGATTATGAAGTGGAATTGATCTACGACCTGGATCGTCGCCTCGAATGGCTCTCAAATGAAGTTGAGCCTGGCCGCAAACCATTTCATTTTCTGTTACTCGCTAACCACTGGCTGAACAGAGCAACGTGGATTGTTCTGGACCCTGTTTCGAGAGTTTCACCTATAGAGCGACGGACACATGGGGATCCTAGGTTCAATCGCTCTTTACCTGAGCCCGAAAAGGACGCTGTTAAGCGGAAATACCCTGTGAAAAAGCGTGTGAAATTGCACGCCCCCCGAATAGATTCATGGCGACTGGCAATTAACGGAGCTAGAAAATCATTAGGGATACAGGAATTCCTGAAAGCCGTTGAATTGTTTGATGGCTCAGCCGACGATCCTCCTGACGCAGCTATTGACCCAGCGAGTTGGATCCTTCGAAAGCCCCCGCAGGGATATGAACGGTTGGATAAGGAATTAGAAGTATACTACGAAGGAATGTGTGGCTGGTGGGAAAAGTTAGATGACTGGCAGAACGTTTGTCGAGCGTACCGGCCACGCAAACTAGTTCGTGAAGGGGGAGCTAATCGCCAGAGAATGAAAGAGGTGGCGAGAAAAGCCACTAGACCATGTCGCAAAGTGATGAAGAGAGGACGGAATCAAGGCCAGAACGCGCCTTTGAAGGGAAAACAAAGGGAAGAGCAACTAGCCGCCCGCGAAATGAGACAAGTAAGGTCTGGGAGCGGTTCTATTCCACGCCGTCGCCGATGTCAGCATAGTGAGGGTCCCAGGAGGCCAACAATTGCGGGGTTAGCATTAGACACTCCAGGGAATAGTAGTTTTGTGTCCATATCGCGATCTGCTGGTAGGTTTTTTACTAGAGAATCGGCACACAGACAGTCGTCAATGGGGCGCTCATTTGCGCTGGATGGTGGTCAGGAGTCCGGTGCTAATATGGAGGCACTTGGGTAGGTGGGTAAGGGTTGCAGCAGCAGTTAATCGTCTTCCTCGTCGTTATTGGAAAAGTGTTGCGGACGCTGAAATCAATGCTTTCTTTTCCGCTATCTGTAAAATGCATTCTAATATCATTCGTTCGATCTCCTTGATCTTCGGTTCTCTTCAACCCCATCACCTGTAGGACTCTCGCAAATGATATATGACGGGCTGTAGTTTTTAGTTTTAGATTTGCTAAATGAATAAATAAAGTAAACAAACAGGACTGTAATAATATGATATTGCCCGATAACTCCTAGATACTGCAAACGTGAACTCGCCGCTTCTGCAAGGGGACTGAAAGAAATGGTACAAGAACATCAAGAAAGGGGACACCATCTAAAACCTATAATACATCGAATTTCTTTCCTTATAAATCAATGCCGCTTTCGCTCTTTCGTTACCAAGTCGGGCTGGGAGCATAATAGAAGCTACCCTGGGTACGGGCTTATACTGATAGTAAGCAGCCCAAAACGTGATCCTTGTGGATATCATAATGTACATGTACATCGAGAGAAGAAGTATGGAGATATGGGTATGGAATCGGAAGGGGGCACTTAGAAACCGGGAGGATTGACTCGTTGGCTGACTCGGGTCCATTTGGGAAGTTCTATAATCCGGTGAGTAATTGGTTAGCAACCCGGATTGTAAAAATAAATGAAAATAAAATAAAATAAAATAACCGGTCTGGCCCGTTAAAAGAGTGAAAAAGGCCATGAAAGTAGAATCATTTTGCTTTCGCTCTCTGTATCCACATAGGATAACTACACAAGGGCGCAAAGCAATCAATCGATCGTCTCAATGTTGCATGGAACGTACTATGTATCCCCTTCCGATATTTCTTCTCCTTCCGATCGAAAATCGTATATTTGTCCTTGGGCAGCATCTCCTCCTCGCGCGGCATCTCATCAAACCACCGAGTGACAGCCTTGCTGGTCATGCCCTTGCGTTCCAATGCGCCGCTCACAGTGTCGACAACCTTATCGACGGCACGTAGCCGTTTACGTTGACGAGCTTTTTGCGGAGCAGAGAGGCGCCAAGGGATTTTCCTGTTTGGATAGAAGACGCGATTGAGTTAGCTCTGTTTCGTTCAGGAGTCAAGTGAGCGGGATGATGGAGGCGCTGGGCGGCGGATGAGGTCAAGTGGGTGCGGTGGGACTGCCAGGATTTATCGTACCAGAGGAGACCTCCCATGACGGGAGAGGTTGGTTTGAACATCTTCAATGTGCAATGAGAAACACGACACTTGTTATCTGCTGATGTTAGAAGTTTCTTCGACAGCGCAAGTGAAGGAGTTGGATGTTCGATGTTCGATGTTTCCTGCGGAGATTATTATATGTGGTCCGTGCATTTTCCTTTTCGGGCATTTCCATCGAACTTTATTTTTTGATGATCCTCACAGTACGGAGTAGTAGATCGTCGTCCTCCTTTCCTTTGACAAAAACAACGCATTGTTGTTTAGCGCCTAGCACAATCTTCTGCCCATTTCTTTCTTGTATATATATTGCCTATACCAATGCACATGTTCTTAATGGAAGAATTGTGATTACATTGCCCTCATGCACCTCAGCCATGGCACCCTGGAACAACCCTCCAGCTTCTGGAGGGGCTGCTCAACTGCGACCATGTATACGGTCGTAGCAGCATGCCGGGCATTCCTCTACGCCGCGAGTAACACGGAAGTTCACGGGCACGAGAAGTTTATAAAACTCCTGGAGTCTCGCGCGGATCCAGGCTCGCGTACCCGAGGCTTGATTACTGGTATGGATGGAAATAACCATTGCAGAACTACTGCGCTTCACAAAGTTAAAGATTTTAGTTCCTGGGGCTGATATAGTAGGCTTGAGGCAGTATCAAATCATATAAGCGTGTACGTACGTAGAAATGGCTATGGTTAGCTGCTTCTAGTCCCTGCGAAATAGAAAGTGTTCTCTGGGCTGATTGACGACTACCCTTAATTTATTTTAACAGAATGGATGACCCTTTGATGTGGGGAACGATTCCGTTATTAAACAAACGTGCATTCAAGTCGTTCAATCGCAGATGGGCTTTTGGAAGCCATGATATATGCTACAGCAACAGGTAAGGGAGAGGAATGACAATGCTCAATATCTGCCTGTGCCAGCTTGACAACTGTATGAAGTGATGTTTAGCGGCTTACAGTAGGTTATCTACAGAGCTTTTTCTGCATTTTTCACCCTAGGTCAAGTCATGCCTACACATCGTATTCTCCATTCTCCGTACGGAGGCCTCTTCCAACCTACCATGACACAAGCAATCCGCCTTCTGTCGCGCGGACCATTTTCTCCTGAACCACATATGGCACCTGCTAGTCGGCAGCATTGGAGTCTACAGAACGTTTGCGTTGACCCTTTTTCAGAAGTGGCTACCGCATATACTACCACAGGCGAAGATTCGCATATCGCGCCTTCGGCATACGCTTGTAATAGTTTTTCGTGGATTCACATCTTCCCGGAGGGAAAAGTGCATCAAGCGCCTAACAAGACGATGCGATATTTTAAATGGGGGGTGTCGCGGCTGATTCTGGAGGCGTCCGAGTGTCCCGATGTCGTCCCTATGTGGATTGAAGGCACCGACCAGGTCATGCACGAGGATCGCGGGTTCCCACGATTCATACCCCGCGTCAACAAAAATATAAGTATAACCTTTGGCGATCCAGCTGACCTGGAGGAGCAGTTTGGCGATTTAAGAAGGCGGTGGCGGCGGATAAAGGCAAAGGCGGAAGAGGGTCAAAAAGACCTGTCTCTTGGAGTCTTGAATGATGAGCTCAAGTACGGAAAGGAAGCTGTTGAGTTGCGCATTGAGTGTACAAGGAGGATTCGAGAGTTGGTTCTCGCCGTTCGAAAATCGAGAGGGCTGCCCGACGAGGACCCAAAGGAGAGCAGAGTCGAAACTTGGCTTCGTGAAGGGCCGAAAGTTGAGGGGAAAATGGATGACGGATCGTGGATTCGAGATACCTAAGATTTGTGTATACTATGTTTTGATATTGCTGTAACCATACCCTTAGACCTCATTGTCAACAATTTACCTATAATCATACCCTGGATCATGTTGCTCCCGCAAAGAGGACAGCCAACGCCATCCATCCTTCGTTCTATTATCAAGCCAATAATATCTGATTACGACATCTTCATCATTATTTTTTAGTGGGCGTTTGTCATCGATATAGTTAATCTTAGCGTTGCCTTGTTGTCTGTGGCGTTCTGCGGGATTTTGATTTCTCTCCTGTCCACCCCACCACACTCCTTTGCATCCATCACAAACGCCCGCCAGTGCAGCCAACAGCCGCTTATGCCCAAGAAACACCATAAACCAACGAGCCCCAAGCCGAGTTCTACCGTCCATCCATCCCTGACCTCGTTTACGGGTTCAAAGAATCAGAGTAGTAGTGGATCGGCGACTAGAGATGGGCGGTCGGTAAATGACCTCATCCATCACCTCCGTCGTACACAAGTGTCGAGACGTGATGAGGTCAATGCGAGTCTGTCGCGGGTGGCGCCCAGATCAGTTCATCCCTCGATAAGGAATCTACTAGGCCTGCCCGAAACCCCTCCCCCGCGTCCGCGTCCTAGCACCCGTGTTGTCGGCGAGCGGGGGGTTCGGAGAACGCCTGGCCCCGCTGCACCTTTGAGTTGGCTAGCACCAAATGATAATGGACCGGATTCTGAGAGAAGACGCAGATTTACTCGCGATGATGCGCAGGAGAGAAATGTTCGGCTAGAGCGTTTACCGGGCATACAATTCCCAGCTAAGGGTAGCTTGCAGCATATGGTTTTGAAGTCCATGGCAGTCAACTGGGACTCGCATCTTCTGTACGATGGCGTCTTTTTATCTGAACTTCCCAGCCCAACGAAGCAGCTGCTTCTGAGTTATATCTCTACATTTACAGACCATGCCTCGATGGAGGTGGGGATGCAAGGGTTAAAACCCTTGTTCCTGGACAGTTCAGACGATGGTATCACCGAAACTTACTCAGATATTACTCGTCTGGATCTAGCCTCCTGCCTGGGCCGCTGGATGACTTTCAAACACCTGGCGCGAGAAATCAAGGGGGTGGATAGGGCCGAATCACACTCCCACGGGAAAAAAATTGAGGGCTCGACCCTCCCGTCCTGGGAAGAAGAAACGGACAGAGAATTCTCTTCGGCCGCTATTCCTCTAGCTCCAACCCAACCACTCCAACAGCGGTTTTCCAACCTCAAATTCCTATCCCTCGCCAACCCCATCCCCCGCGAAGCCAGCTGGCACTCCCTTTTAAACCTCCTCCCACACCTTTCTACGATAACCCATTTGTCTCTCGCCCACTGGCCAACCCCAACCGTAACCCCAAACTCCCTCACAGCGAGCATGAAGCATCCGAAACTCAGCTCCCTCTCCCTGCCCTACGGCGGGACAGATATATACTCCGCATTCGAAAACAACTGGGTCGAGGCCGCTGGAATCTTACGCAGACTTTCCAAAACAACTTATTGTCTCAAATGGCTGGACCTAGAAGGCTGCAGTGACTGGCTCCCAGCTCTGAGCTGGAATGGGATCGATTTGGAAGGAAATTTCCATGCCGCGGCCGGGCCGGAGTGGAATGGAGCTTGGAGGAACCTTGAATGGTTGGGTCTTGGGCCTGGGTGGTTTCCCGATGTGTCTGATGTCGAAGACTCGTATCTCATCCACGAAAGGGATAAAACCCTGCTGAGGGAGATTGAGAGTGGGCGTTATGACTCATCATCGCTTGGAGCTGCTGGAATTGAGGACAAGAAGGCGCTGATCCGGGAGAGAGATGGATACCGGAACCTCATTGAGCGGGCGGTTGAGGTGAAGAAGCAGGTGCAGACGATTAGGAGGGACGGTGGTGGGAGGTGGTTGGAGGTTTCTCTCGGCTTGGAGAGCGAAGACGAGCTTAGGATAAGGGTGTGTGGGGATGTGGTGAAGTGAAGAATGCTACAAGGGCGATGTGGCGGGCAGCTACAACCCGGGGTCCACATACTTGGTCCGTTATTTGAATCACAACATATTCGTAGAGCATTTCTGTATCAAACTTTTGCAATTTTTTCCTATTTTTGTTCGTATACCACTCAAGAAACTGCGGCCAGGCCACTGCAGCTACTATACAGTTTTCGTATAGTCTTTCAACTATAAAGCCCCCCTCCCCTGCACATGTGAGATAAATGTCAAGATAAACGTGCATGTGCCTAATATCCCCAGATGCACCAATTAAACAAGAATAAGAAATCCAATAACTACTTCCCACCAGAATTGAAACTCTTCAGAGGATCAACTTTCTTCCCACCCCTGCCAGCCTTCGCTGGTCTGCCCCTACCCCTATTCCTCTCCCTCGCCTTCCGAATTCGATTTTCATGCGTCTTCCTAAAACCAACAAACCCAACGTCGCCAGCTGGACCGCTACTAAGACCCCCTTTCCCCTTCGTCGGCATCAGGTAATCAGGTACGTGTTTCAAATGCGCCTGCACACGAGCTGCCCGTAGCTCCCCATCATGTCGCAACTGCCTCAACTCCTCGGGATTCTCCTCGAAATGGCGCTTCAGCTTCTCACTTTTGACAAGCTCCTGGCGGATCTCGCGCGCACGTGCTTCCTGTACGGCGACACGAGTAACAGCACGGAGCGCGTCGGACATACGGTATCGGAATGCGTCGACCTGTTTCATTTCGAAGTGATAAGGTTTCACCTCCCGACCGAGCTTGCCCTGACGCTTGATAATTTTGCCTAGCACTGCCTCGTCGTGCTTGGCGGAAGAAAAGCTCGTGGGTTTGTGTTTGCCGAATTGGTCCGATGGGACGACAAAGGAGAGGGCCATGCCTGTCTTGCCTGCACGACCTGTGCGGCCAATGCGATGTGTGTAGGATTTAGAGTTGGTGGGGAGGTCGAAATTGAGAACGCAGGCCACGTCTTGGAAGTCAATGCCGCGGGAAATACCGTAGTCCTTTTCCTTGGCGGATTTTTTGGGACGCTTGCTTGGACGTGCTTTGGTTTCGTCTTCGCTGGAGTCTTGGAGGTAATTATTTGTTGTCTTGACGCCACTGCCGTCATCATTCTCCTGCTCTGGATCCTTGGAGCTTTGATCTGACTTCCGGGATGGTTTCCTAGGTTTTTTAGGTAGTTCTCCTAGAACTTCCTGGTCGTCGGCCGCTATTATGATGTCGTACACGCCCTTGTTGAATTCTTGAACCACATGGATACGCGAATTCACAGGTAACTCGGAATTAAGCACGCAGCTCCTGATACCAAACTGTTCGAGAAACAGTTTCAATCGGTAACAACGGTCCACGTCACCAACGAATATGATACATTTCCCCTTGACAAGTTGTAATTTGAATATAACATACGTCAAGAGGAACTTCTCATCTTCCGCACACCTAACGAAAATGTTAAAAAATGGCCTTTCTGCATAAAAGCCGTGTCAACCAGAAACCTACCTGACAACAAATTGGCTTATTCCAGCCCCTTCATCCTCCTTCTCTTCCAGTTTCAAAACAACGGGGTTCCTGCAGAATAAACCTTTCAGCGCATCCACTTCCGACGTAAAAGTTGCACTCATTAAAAAGGCCTGAACACCACGGGGTACAGCGTTGGCGAGACTCTGCATGTCTTCTTCATAACCGTACGAGAGGACGAGATCCGCCTCGTCAATGACTAGATGTGTTAGGTGCTGAAGAGTGAGCGCAGAGCTGTTGATATTCACAACCGCCCGAGCGGGAGTTGAGATGACGATATCGGGGAGGTCGGCAAGAATTGAGCGTTGCACGGCATCGGAAACCTTTTGGGTAAGATTTGTGGAGCGTATGTCTTTGCCAGCAAAGGCAGAGAATGAGGTAACTGTCTTGTGAACTTGTTCCGCCAATTCTCTCGTTGGAACTAGGATCAAAGTTGAAATCGCCTTGTGTGTAGGGTCATTCTAACTATATTGTAAGTCCCATGCCTTAATATCAGCACCACGGTGAGGAAGCGTACCGTCTTTTTCTGAAGAATCGACTGCAAGATGGGCAGGAGGTAAGCAGCTGTTTTTCCAGATCCGGTCTTTGCGCGAGCTGCGGGAAAGTTAGAACTGAAGACTTTTGGGATAAGAGGGGTTAATAATTGCATACCTAAAACATCTTTCCCATCTAAAGCTAGTGGAATTGCCTCCGCCTGAATCAGCGTTGGTTTTGTGAATTTCTGTTGCGTCAGGGCTTGGAGGAGTCTGGGATCGAGGTTCAAGTTCTCGAAACTATGGGCCGTATTATTCTTCCCCGCACTATCTTCCGGTGAAGGGACATTGTTGGCGTCTAGCTTCCGCTTCATGATTGGCAGCCAACTTCCGGCTCTGGTACGGATTTACTCTTGATGTTGGGTTTTGAAGGCGTGTTTTTTTTTTTTTTGGTAGCTCTTGATACTGGGCGAAAAAATGCATTGAAACTTTCCATCGCGGGGCTTGGCGCTGCGTCGGGCCGCCTAGTTAATCCGGCCCACTAATCAAAACACCTCAGCTCAACTCCTTATCGTCTTCATAAGGGACCCGCGGGATAGTGACTCTTGACATATCTGGACTTTTATGTTAAAACACCCATAAAGTAACTTTTAATATCAGTTGCGGTGCAGACTTGGGCCTATAATTTTCTTTGTCGGCTTTGCTACCCGAAATCTAGGCGCCAATCCTCAGTCTTTGGCCGTATACAATAGGGGAGAAACGTCTCCAGTTAAGGTTTATCAATCTGATGTTAAAGCGTTCGGCTGCTAACTATGCCTTATACATGATAATAGATACGCGAAATGATTTAAAACGAGGGTGACATGAATGGGTGAATCTGGAGTAAAGGCGTGCTGAAACAGTTGAGCCCTCGGATGTGTATGCTCGCGAATTCGACTGGCGGCAGGTTTACAGGTAAATGAATACAACAAAGGATTATTTTCAGTCCAGAAATTTTCAACAGAATCGGAATCGTACCAATGAGACAACCCCAAGCAATAGGAATGGGAATTTTAAGATTGGAAAGACAAGAGCGGACATCAAGGATGTTTTCAGCGAGGAGCTGTCCCACATTGTCGGGCCTCTAGCATCCCGCTTTTGCACCGTATGTGGCCGACATAACATATAAATCTGCAAGGAAAAGGATAGTTAAAATAAAAGGGGATCCATTCATGGACCGGTGCCCTATTCCTCTTAAAATCCCTGTGGATGACGAAGGGCCTTCCCAATGAAACATTTAAACGCCATTCCGAAGGAGTTAACACTTTAAACGAGGAGACTGGGTGTTTCAGGTATATACTGCGGTGCCCCGGATTCAAACAGCAATGTCTCGCGCACCGTATCACCCCTTCCGGTATAACGATAAAAAATCTTCTTGAATCATCCCGCTCAGTTTTCGATTGCACAGAACATCGTGTGTGTATATGACGGCGTGTGTTTTCGTATCAATGGACGTCTGTCGATTCCACGCCCGGCGCTGTAGGAATGGCACTATGGATATGTTGAGCTAAGTTCTCTATATAGACGTGATTTCACAAATGCTTACAAACACCAACAACAGTCCCCTCGTCACAATCTACCTCACCAACCTTGTAGTATCACCTCGGACGTTCCCTCACATGATAGCCTTTGGCTCATTAGCCACTGTTTCTCTCACTATGCTTCACTTCGACAACATTACCTAGACTTGTGTAATGCTGCGAAGCATCGTTCGTCCTGGTCTTCCGTGCGGGGCCAAGCTCTGAATCTTTGGATCCCGTTTAGCGTATCTCAAAACTCCAGCCTCATCATCAACCCCAGGATTCGTGGAACTATTTGTCGCTCACCTTTTTCTGTAGGGACCAGACGAGAAGCTGAAGCTCCACTCAGCGGGCGTAACGCCTCTCCTTGATTCATTGGAGGATGGTGTTGCTCACTCCGAGCTAGTAGACTCGCATTTGACTGAGACGGATGTGCGAACTCCGCTGGGATATTACTATAACCCAGAAGATTGCTATTTTGGTGAGGTGGGCTTGCGAAAGCTGGCGGTGAGCTATGATCGTTTTCGACATTGGCGGGGTATCCTGAACGGTAAACGAGTTGAGGATTGCCGATTCGCGAATTATATCCGCTACCGTCTGATGAGTCCTGGGCCACCGGTGGAGGTGGATTCCCCCGTTTCGATGACAGATGATACTGAGTGCGCTTGTGTGGAATCTCTGTATTGGGGCTCTGCGATCTATGCTGTTTTTTAAATCTGTTTTCCCTGCCGCGTGGTCCGGCCTCTCGTTGGTCCAGGGCATATATATTCAACTCCCGAGCGGTGTCTACCACATCACGGTATTGGCTCCTCTCGTCGTTCTGCTGACCTGAATATACGCTACGTGATGTGCTATATTCTCATTAGCTCAACTCAACGTTTGACGTCCTTCCCTGGATTATGAATCCAAGAAGAAAGATGTTTATGGTAGTGCATTAATATGTCTAGCTTGAAGGGACTTGATTTGGAGCAATACTCTACGGTTCTTGGAACTTTAGGTGAATGTTCTGCTATTCCTTGTCTAACCGGTCTCTTTTCAACTTGTGCGGCTGGCTGCTGATTCTGTGGATCACATCCTGTTCGGCGATATTCTGTACTATATGCCCACGGTTCTCGGCCAAAAGATTCTGAGGTGTCCGTTTCCTCAAAATCTGCGAGTCGGTTGTGACTGGGTTCTTCTGTCAGTCTGCCCCACCGGGCCATAATTCTAAATCCGAGGACGTACCTAGACATGTTTTTGGCCGATTTGCGCCCGCTCCTAAGTTCGGCTATGATGTCAACAATACGATAAAAATGCAGGAAGAAGGCAAAAATATCTATCAAATGCTTTGTTCTTTGGTCACATAAGAGCACAAAATCACCGGATGCCCTCTTGCGACCCATAATGCTTAGGAGGAGGAAGAATGCGAACCATAAATAAACCAGCTAACCTTGCGGCTCAGCAATTTTGTTCAGAATGGAGGTGGCGCCAGGGATGCAAGTTGTGTTGGCTTTGCCTAACTGATGTGTAAAGATATTGAACAGCTGATCGAGAGGTGCCTTTTCGCGAATCATGCAGGACGCTAAACGAACCTGACGCTTTTTTTCCTCCATAGATACGCACAATAGCGGCATATCCAATGCATGTCTACCTATTTCCAAAGCACATATACCCGATGACTGGGAAGTTCGTCCTGCAAATGGCCACATGCCATATCCGATTTAGCCCTTTTGGGCCACTCGTTGTCAATCTCCCGACCTCCTCAACCAGAGGACACTTATCCAGAGGTTCGTGATGTCTTTCTCAACCTGTATAGGTGAGCAAAACTGGTCAGTCCGGCAATCCCGCATAAAATACTTCAACAGGAAATTGTCTTTCTAAACGCATACCTGCCGGGCGCCAACATGAATTTATCTCGCTTGGCAAGTCAGCACATGCCCTAAATGACATTCTGACAGTATCACACACTCTCTCTCAATCAGACCAATTATGGTATCCCTAGCGGTCAGTTACCAGCACTCTGCTCCCCATATTCAGTCAAACAAATGAAGAGCACCATTGGTACCATGGTATTGTATTGAAAATGCGACCCTGGGTTATGTCATGTTATTTTTCCACGTTGGTAAGGCTGGGTATTGATACTGTATAGTGATTACCGCAAAACGTTCCTTTACAATACGGATGCGAAGTTTCAGAGAAAGCAACAGTGTCTTGTTTGCCCGTTATTGTGGACCCATGATAATGGGACTACCCTTCGAGGGCTTCCTTTTCGCTTACAACATAATATATCTTCTATAGGCGGCATGATTCGCGGGCTTAGATGCACCCAGGGTAATGGACATGACTGCCGAGACTTATTGTCAATGTTCTGAAATATTTAAAGTACCAAGTGTGAATTACCCTCTGTCCACTTCAATGCCTCAGATAAAAGGTGAATGAATAAATATGCTCTCCATGGCTAAGTCTCAACCCATCCTCCCTGATATAAAAGCAGTTGTTAAGCATTTTTTGTAGCTCATCCGATCTGGACGATGCTTCTACTTGTCAAATCAGTTCAAACACAACCCTTTCGGAATCCAGATGGCTTCTCAAATGCACAAGTGTAAATAGGCGCAGATCCGATGCGATGCATGTATGTACAGTACATGTACCATCCGTTTTGTGAAACCCCCAGCATTTGCGACGGAAATAAGAGAACGCTGTCTTCAATAAAGGCACAGTCATTCATTCCAGTGTCTACCGATATCCTATTCAAACCTCAAACCCGAACGCCAGGGACCTAATTATGATCGAGATAGATTGGATCCACTATTCCATAAAGGAATCCCTAAGCTGGGTCGAGTATCGGAAGAACGGGGCGAATATCCAGCTCCCGGAGACAACTATCGTGGACTTGAAGATGACCTGATCGTGCAAAATTATCAGCTAGAAAGAGAGCTAAGCAAGACATTTCAATACATGAAGCACTCTAATGAAGAGGGTACTAGCACGTATTCAGATGATTTGGATGACGACATCTCCGGTAGGAGTGAAGTATCTGTTGGCTTTGGAAACATCTAAACATGCGATCAAAGCGAAAAGCCTTGTCGAGTGAGAAAGCAGCGACAGGCAATTTTAAACCAATGTTGGGTGATGAATCAGAAGGCTTCCTTGATCAACTTGAGGTCTTTACGAATGAGCGGATAAATAACTGAACTCTCTGGAGGAAAATGCTGGACCCGTCCACCAAGAATACAAGGATCAGAGTATCAGAGTTTGCTATGGTATCCTTCAGTGTGACGCAGGTGGTTCCGGTACCAGTCTTATCATTCGAGCCAGCTTCTGGGCAGCTTGAGAACACTCTGTTGGGAAATAGAATCAAGGATTATCTTTGTTTTCTGAAGCAGACTCTACGCAAGCTCATGATCCCATCAGCAACCTAAATAAGTGGCTTCTGCATCAACTTCGCATCTCCATTTTTGAAATGTTCTTCTACAAGGTTATTACAAGGTTTGACATTGGGAACCCGACGAGCAAACCTTCTATTTATCGATTCAGTGATAAGACTTCCACCCCAACGCATAACACCCCTAATCTCCAATTACGGGTTCTCCTTTCAACGTCCTTGAAAATCGGGGTTTAAGATCGCAGTCCATCCCAGATGAGTATACAAAGCGCGGCACCTACACTAAGTTCTAGCCGAAATACAAATTGGCAAAGCTGGGTCCAGGACCCAGTCAGTCCTGCGGCACTAAGATAGCGAAATGGCCACTTTGCCTGGGTATCATGATGATATGTATCCGGTCGAGCAACCTTTTATCCGCCAGTATCCCCTGACTTATCTTACAGTCCTTGGAAAGGATTGAATTGGTGCATATACTAGGTGCATACATATGCCAAAATATGTTTGATTATCAAATTGAATTCTATGTGACACTTGTTTTACGGTTCCCCAAGTCCTTCCGTTTCTTAATAATGCCTTGGGCTTTGTGGGTATTACTCTTTTCTATCTATTATTTCTTCAGTTTACGCAAATTGGTAATTGGTTGGTAGACGGGATTGGGCGCATAGGGGAATTCTCAATTTTCTGATATTTCATTTCACTTTTCATCCTTTGCTTCGGATTACCTTCATTTTTTTATTCTCTTGGTGTGCAACTGCCTATGGTGAATGGCGCAGCGAACATCGATTATTTTCTTGCGGTGAGTTTGGTTTGACGCTGTACGTTCTTGTGGACCCAGACATCATCAGCTTTCAGAGGATCGAAATGGGCGATAAATTTCTGCGCCCCTTAGTCGACATTGTCGTCAGCAATTCGAAAGCGAGCCAATTCAAGCTTCCCAAACTTCATCAACTTAGCAGACGCTGGGCGCCCAAAGAAAAGAAAAAAGAAAAGAAAACATCCCCGCTTCTTTATCACTTATCTACGTGGTGCGAACAGTTGAATTCCGAGAGGAGCCGGTCTGGTGCCATTTGCTATTGCTTTCACCAACAGAGTCCCGTTACTCTATCCACTCACTGACTAACACATCACAACTGATATTTCCCCCTCTAGACCTAATTACAACATACCCTCCTTCAGACGGACATAAATTGCAGACTGTACGGCTTATTCGTTGTAAAATTAACCAGTACGGGGTTAATGATTTCATGAGTCGAGTGTAACCCTCCAAGGCTTGGGCGCAACTTCCTGCTGATTTGTTTAACCCCATGTGAAGTACTATTTATTTCTTTCGTGGGACGGGAATACCTGTGGATTTTTTGTTTTCCAGGAACGAGGACATTTCTAACACGCGACTATTCTCAACCCCCCCTCCTAGTTCGTTAGGGCTTTTCCGAAGCCAATCGACGTTAAAGTGGACGGACGGACTAACTCTATAAATCAAGGGCCGCTGTAACAGCTTTCCGGATTAGGGTACATGGAACTATCCAACCATCAATTATAACTTCTTCTGGCAGACGGGATACTACCTCTTGTTACGACAATACGAGAGCAACAATCTTGAAAGTTGCACTAGATAAGCGTGTCAGCCGCGTTATATGCATGGCCGGCCATACATACGCGCTTTTTACGAGATTAATGTCTCCATTTTTCGGGCCCTTGGGACGCAAGTCGGCGTTCCATAGAATATATCTGATTATTTATTGACACTGATTTTAGGGCCGGCCACTGAAGCCATCAAGATTCCCTTCGAAGTATTTCTGTTACAAAACGGTGATTAAATTCCAACGCCACTCATGGCCATTGAACATAAACAATGACCCCGAGAAATTCTAACATTGGATCAACTACGAATCTCGCAACTATGTAACGGAATGTTATGATGCCGTATTGATACAGTTCTAGCTTTTTGTGCAACAGCCCTTGTTCCCTGTATTACGAATACCCGGTTTGGAATCCAGCCAGTGGGCGAGCTTTCCCATAGATGCCCCCGTTAGATCCTTGAACATTTCTATCTGCATACCTTGGCAATCTAATGACTGTTCGTCAGCAAAACTCATACAATATTGTTTATTATCGGTCATATCAACCCTCCATTGACGGCTATACCAAAGGAAGATACTCCCTAGCTCCCGCTCGCTGTATCAGGTTAAAGATGTTTATCCTGTCTCTTCTTCCCTTTTTCGTGGACCGCATGGATTTATCATGCTTGTCACCTTGTGTCAAATTTATAGTGGTAGGGCAAACTGAGGTTTGTTCGCCACTTTGTTGGAGATCGGTTTGTGCCAAGCCGGCACACTAACGATAAATTCCAATCGCCCTAGCCGCGGGGTTTATTGAGATTTGGTTCACGCAGAAGAAAGTCAGGATGATATTATCCATATTCCAAATCAAAACATGGAGTAGTAAAATATATTCAGACCTATATTATCCCTTCAACTTCTTTCTAATAGTTATATTTAAATCTCGAATTTCCAAATGTTCAAAGGCCACCTCTTAAAACTTTGGCTGCCGCCATGCTCATTGCTATCAAACACATTCCTCTGCTTTCCCTGACGAGTTTCTTGAGCGGGAAATAGGCCATGCAACCAAGAGTGCTTACAATGTCCGATATATCCGGGCTGTCAAGTAACCTGATAAGACCTGTATTTTGTTTAATTAAACATACCTGAAACCTGGTGAGTGGTAGTTCTTCTCAGTGGACAGAAACACAGCGCTGAATGCCGGAAAAGCCACTCGCGGTGCTCACTTCTTCATCCCCAGCGTAACCCGCAGCTATCGTTCTCAGAATCACTAAACCGTTCGCCGTGCTTTGACTCCACAGGCGCAGAGAGCACGGGGCCCTTCCATTATTTTTAAGTTCCGGAAGATCCCAGCGAACCAAAAGCCACAATTTTAAACTTGCGGCCCGCACTAACTCAAAATAACCTTAAATACAGTTGATGGGCATGAAATATAAACACCAGGACAAAATTTTAGCAGAGCGGTTAAATGTCATGAGTAATAATCCGAGCTGACAACGGGCCGTGTTCGATGGCCGCCTTTGCACAAGGCCTAAATTGATAAGATGATAATGTACAGGCCCACAAACGGCCCGCATCAACCATTCAACGCCCCGGCCGCGCTGGTTAGTTTGTTGGAAGTTGAGGATAGGTTTCGTTAGAAAATTGCCACTAAGACCACACAAGGGTAAATACAGCATTGAATGACCATGCTGTACTATATCTTATCAGATAATCGACGTTGTGGAAGCCTGGCATGTGAAAGCGACGCGTCAACGGTGAATAATATCTCACAAAAAAAATGGCAAAGAGACCAGATAGCAGCCTATTAAACTAACTAAAGTGATCCTTTCTGTCGCGCTCTCTGATAGAAATACACACATGCTGCCGCTAAATTTCTTGTACAGCTAGCTATTCCCCCGTGGATTGGCACAGGAGGAGGTTAAATTAGGGAATCTTTTTGAAGCTCAGATGACACGCTCCACACATAAATTGATAATTGCCTAAGTACATACATGTGCAACAGCAGTTTCGCATTTGCCTAACTGTAGCGATCGGCCAAAAACTGACTTAACACAGCACAAGGAAGGAAACGTTCACGTGTTTGGACATATTGCCCAGTATTACAATCTCAGACCTTCAAGAGCAGCAAGAGGGACTAGCAGAACAAAACTCCAGTAGCCATAACTTTATTCACACAAACTCCAGTTTCCATTTTCATATCAAGTTGCGCTGAGTACACATCTAGGTACATATCAAAACAGTCCTGCCCTTCCCATTTCCGCTTCCGTTTCCATGTCCATCACCATTGTACATACATCCATGCATAACTACGTAAAATAAAAGGGAATAAGCATAAAAGCGAACAGCTTGGGGGAAAAATAAATAAATGAGGCCATGCCCATGTCAATAAACAAGGCCAAAAAACTGAGCAAAATTCAAATATTCCCCAAACAAATCACATACATACCAATCCCCTAGGATACCCGACTATCATAATCCTCCCCCTCACTCTCACTCAAACTATCCCTCCTTCCCCTCCCACGCCTACCTCGCTCCCCACCATCCGCACGCCGATACCCGTTCGACAATCCCGGAATAGGATGATGGTAACTCCTCGTGCCGGTCCCCGTATCCGAATGCTCCCCAAGCGCAACCTGCTCATACGTGTAATCCGAACTATGCGTCGAAGATAAATCCAACGGCGCCGCATAACTGCCCGGCATCGCGGTGCGCTCCCGCTTGCGCGGGCTTGACTGGCGGGAACGATTGGAAATATGGGCGGCGGCAGGGACGCTTGAGCGCGGGCCGCGGGGACGGGTTGACGTGGAGGGAGCGACGGAACCGCGGCTACTACGGTGGTAGTGCTGGTGGCTATCGTCGCGGCGTCGGGAAGAAGCGACAGTAGGGTCGCGCAGTTGGTGTTTCTCCGTGGCGACGGTGAATGCATCGTCCTCGCCAGTGGTGAAGGAGAAGCCTGAAGCGTTACGTTGGCGCTGCGAGCGGCGGCGGTCCGGTTCATAGCCTGGCAGTGGACCGACGTGACTATGGGTCTGAGTCTGGCTTTGGCTCCATTCGCTGTCCTCGTGGCCGTTCGAAGTTGTGTAGTCTGAGGTATGATATTCACCTTCCGGCTCACGGTTAAGTCCACCCACTTTAGCAGGCTTCTCATGCCGGTATGCGCGCATATCTTCATCCGCGCCACCTTCCCACTCCTCATCCCTCCGCTTGCGCAGCAACTTCTCCTTCGTTGTCTCCCTGATACCCTTGCGTCGCGGCTTCTCGCCAGATACGGTTGAGCTATCAACCGTGGTCGTAGCATCCGTGCTACTCTGATAATCACTGTACCCCTTACCAACAACGCTCCCACCGCCCAATTTCGTGCTCTTGGTGGCGGCACTGAGCGTTCTGCCATGTGAATCCTTCCGGCGTAGTACTGTAGATTTGTATTCTTCCCAGTCACCCTTGCGCCACACGAAGCCGCCATTCTTCGCCCAGAAGAAGAACCAAATGGCAGCCAACACGAAAGCAGCTCCCAAAATGGCAAAAAGAGCCATTAGGCCCGCCATGTTTATGCTGGTGGGGTTGACGATGCCACGACTGGGCTGGACGGGATTTGAACCTGGGTTATCGCGCGGGGCGAGGGGTTCGGCTACCTCTGTGACCGGAGAGGAGAGTGCGCGTTCGCGGAGTTGAGAGATGGGGAAGTTGTGCGATGTTTTGCGTTTAGAGAGCTTTGTGATATACTCACTAAACTTACCGGATGAGCCCCCGGCATAGGTAAGGAATGGAGGCATGGCTATGGTTTTTGATGGGTTGCTGATTCAGACGGTGAAGACGAGATGGTGAGACCTGTATGTTTGTTAAGAACAAGGCCCAAGAACCAAATTCCCGAAGAAGGCACTGATGCCACACACACACACACACACACACACACACGCACACGCACACGCTGAGCGCGCGTTCTAACCCTCTATCTGCTACCCTTTCCGGTTGATTTGAATGGTTCTCAGCCAGCGGTCCCCGAACAAGCTGAGCCCAAACCAGCTCAAGCTGGAAGGGAATCAGCCAGACAGCGCTGCGATCTTAGTAGTTGCTTTTCTCGCTTCGCCTCATATAGCTGCAATAAGGAGAGAGGTTCCTCTGGTGGCAGTCAAATCGCGTCAAGGAGCCACTCCGAACGATCGACTGGTATGTAGCTCGTAGTAGATATCGGGTGAAGGAACCGGTGCGGGAAATATATATAACAGCGAGAGACCAGGCACTGTAGAAGATAAGATAGTGGGGGGGTGGGTTGGGTTGTGGATTCGCTAAAATACGAGTTAAAAAGATCAGTATTCGTCAAACGATAAAAGCAGGAGCAGGAACAAAGTCAAGTCGAGAAAGGCTCACCACTCGCTTTTCTCAACCTCAACCTCAGCGTCGATTGTTAGGAATAATCGGAAGGCTGGGGAGTTGTGTGACCTCATCTCCCAATCTCCATTCCATTCCCCAGCCGCCGCCTTTTTTTTGTTTACATCAGCCCGTTGCGCGGGACAACGTTGCTTATGTCAGCATGTGGTACCCAACACGTGACTCTGGCCAGATCGTCCGTTTATGGTTAGCGCAGATCTGGGCCGGATTTACAACTGTGGATAAGTGCGGGAAGTTCATCTCAGCCATTGGAAAAAATGTAGTTAAGAGAATTTCTATAAAGTTTGAAGAGAAGCAGTTTTCATGAAAAACAGTGAAAGAAAAGTAATAATAAATTGAGACTACCCTACATTATACAGAAATTCACTAAGAAAAGAATATAAAGAAAATGAACAAATTAAGGGGTAGAAGCAACAGGGGTGAAAAATATGAAAAAGAAAAGGGAAAAAAAACAAAAAGGGGGTATAGAACATAATGAATATAAAAGGGGGACAAAATATCCAGCTGCAAATAAAAGACTGAGCAAGGAGCGTAAGCCGCGGGGTAGTAAGAATTTGGAGCACTGCTTGCTCGAATCAAATGGGGATTGATGTGGGAGAGGGGGACAGGAGGGAGGTTTGTAAAACCCTCTTCACCCCTCCTAGCCATCCGGACGCTTAAACCCGCTCATTAGGAAATGTAAACAAGAAACAAGGAGAAGAATAATAGGAAGCAAGAATAATAACGGCGCTCGCAGGGGAAGGGGGGAAAATGGAACTTGGCAATTGGAAATCGGAAATCAGAAATCGGACGAAAAGAAGCTTGAGAGTTAAAAAAAAAAAAAAAAAAAAAAAAAAAAAAAAAAAAAAGAAAGAAAGAAAGAAAGAAAGAAAAGATTTAGCAGAGAATAATAGGATTGTATGAAAAGTATAGCAAGCAAATTTGCTAGAGTCAAACAATGAATAAGAGCAAGGGATGAAATGAAATGGATAAAACAAGAAGAGGGAAAAAGGAACGCTTATTATATATGAGAGTAGTTGGGCGTTAATGATTAAAAAGTGAAGATGATGACAAGAGGGGAAGAAAAACGGAAGCCAGAAAATAATAGTAATAAATAATAATAAATCGCCATTCATTGTAAAAAACCAAAACAAACAAAAAATGAAAAATGAAAAATGAAAAATGAAAAAAACCAAATCGTTGAAAATCGTACAGATCATTAATTAACATGATTCAAACCTCCGCCAGCGCTCAGACAAATGAGAGTACACAGCAACATAAATAAATTAATAAAAAATCAAAAGAAAGATGGGGAGTAGGGAGTAAAGATGCGATGGGCAACAAAAAAGGGGTAACGGGACATTTTTTAGGGGATCGGATAGGGAAGTAGATAGAGGTGGAAGAGGGAGAGAAGCTGAGTAGGGATTGAGTGAATCGCACGTAGCCTACGTAGGTAGGTGTAAATAGGGGTAGTAAGGCGGGGGTGGGGTGGGCAATAAATCAAAAACAAAAGTTCCAATCATGCACATATGCAAAAGAAATGCAAAATATCAAAATAAATCGCCCAAATCGTGAGAAAATGATAAGAATCCAGAAAAAGAAAAAGGATAAAATAGAGCGCAGGTGTGAAGGATGAAGTGAAAAAGAAAAAGATGAATAACACAAGAAAAGCATCAGTGATAAATGAAGGCGATGATTGGAGAGGAAATAACCAGAACTGCAGAAAGTAAGCATGATCAAAGTTAAGAATGAAGACATAACAAAAGGGGAGTTTTCAGGTACATGATTTTTTTCGTGACATCATCGCTTGCTTTCAAATCAAAAAAGGGGGATATATAGCAATAGAAAGAGAAGCAAAAGAAAAAGAAGAGAGCACGTTAGACATAACAAATATTTTTTTCCCGTAAAAAACAAAAAACTTTTGTTGGTTTTTCCAAAAAACCGACCCGGCCTCCCATTTTTGTCTTTTTCCAAAAGTGATTTCCCTTTCCTTCTTTTTCGCTTTTTGTATTTTTTTTTTTGCAAACGCGGTAAATTCCCCCCCCCCCGCGCGAGAAGGAAAAGTAAAAAAGTATTTGGAAATGCGATAAAATATAGCATTAAACCCTAAGCTTTTTTTTCAATGCGTTTTTTGAAAATCAAGAAAAACCATTAAAACCGGCAAAAAGGTAAAAACAGCAGGTAGTAATCGTTTTGCTGTAAAGCATATATGCAGCCCAGGCAGGGCTTACGACTCCAACAGGCCTCTTCCACTGTACCCAGAGCGGCTCGAGCGCCTACTCGCCCGATCAGAAGACGAATCCTGGCGAAGGCGTCTACTCTCCTCAATATCTCTCCGCGAACCACTAAGTGACTCCGAGCGCGAGAGGAAATACCGCTTTGGTCTCCGCCCTTCGATATTCACCTCCAAAGACCCTTCCTCGCCAGATCGTAAATTGATGACCTGCCGATCAATGTTGTCTTTGGGAACCCCGATCCTGAGCCCGCCAATCATCACTGTGATCTCATCGTCCTCGGGCCGACTGATGCCACTCTTGGTCTTGACGTCGCTGCCACGGCTGCTGTCTGTGCGGGTGCGGAGGCTGCCGCTGTCGCTGTCGGCGCGGTGGCTGCGTCGGGATTTCACGAGGGTGTCTAGTGTGAGCGGGGTGGCGCGGGAGGTTCGGGAGGATTGGTATTCTTCTGCCTCACGTTGCTTTTGGTCGAAGTCCTTGGGCTGTTCTAGGCCATAGACTGATGAGCGGCGGCGACTGTGTTCGATTGAAATCCTGGCAGCTCGTCCGGGGTCGTGGTAAGAGGTGGTTCTGATGCCTGCTTTGCCGGGTGCACTGGGTCGTCGCTCGGATAGGACGGCGTCTCTGGACTTCTTTCTGCCTAGTCGGCTTGGAGGTAGGGCTGCGCGAAGGTCATCCATATCGATGCCCTCTGGGCGCCGTGACGTGGTTGGGGTAGATGTTGCAGTGGCCGCTTTGCGGGCAGATGGTCGACGAGGGGGGATGATGACTTGGGGAGGGGGTTTGCTCTTGGGGACTGGGGGTGGTGGCATGCGGTAGAAATCTTCATCAGGGTCGTATGTCGACGGTTGAGACACTGACTCGCGGCGGGCACGAACTTCCCGAGAAGAAGGCTGTCGGTGTAGATCTTCGCTACGATGGGTGGAGGGTGAATGTGGGTATTCTACCACTGGTGTCCCGTACATTGAAGCCCGTCTGCCAGTTGGTTTTTCAGGCGATCGGGAGGTGGACGCGGCTCGTGGTCGTTCGAAATTAGGTGGTGGGGCGGACTCATATGCCATATGAGACGGGAGGGGAGGGGCAACAGGTCCGTTGGACATATACGGCTGCATATAGTGGGCGTATGCGGATGCGGATATTGGGGGCCCATGTTGTTCGTAGGCAGGGGTTTGAGGAACCATATGCATGTACATATTCATGTCTGGCATAGTCCCTGAGTGGAAACTCATGGGCCGACTCTGGTGATAAGAATTCGAACGGTCGCGACGAGATGATACGATTTCCTGACTAACGATAGGTGGATAATGGTATGACTGAGGATGAGGAGATGAGGGAATGTCGTAGCCATGAGATTGGGGATGCATATAGGAACCGTAATCGGCCGGATGAGGGTCGGGAAGAGGAGGGGGCCCCATAGGCATATGGTGGTATCCATATTGGTCACAATCCAGGCAGGTATCGGGGGCATGGCGTCCATGGGTGGATTCCCATTTTCTTGCCTTGGACGAGGACCGCTTGGGAGCAGGTCTGCTGGAGCTTCTGTGCACACCTGTTATTGTGTGCATCGTTGCTCCGCTAGAAGAAGAGGAGTGATGGGTTTCTCTTGATTCCCTATCCTTCCCCCTGGATTTTGATTTCTCTCTTTCTCTGTCGTCGGGACGGCCTCTCACGCGTTCGATATCCCTATTGGCGATGACAGTGTCCAGCTGAATAAAAGGAGGAGTTTTCTTCCCCGTGGGGAGTGAATCAGCACTGCCAACAGTGGCTGCTGTTCGGCTGGAGTATCCCGAGTCGCTCGCACCGTCAGTACTAGTGCCTGACTGTTGAATATCGGCCTTCGATCTTTTGACAGAAGCGTTGGCAACGGTGCGAGTCTCTGGAATGGTAACGTTGGCATCCTCATCAAAATCTTCGAAGAAGGCAGCGTACGATTGCTGAGAATTCCTGGAAGCCATGACTCGACTGTCGAGGTTTGGTGGGGCTTGCAGGTATGGTTCGCTCGGGAGGGTCCCGTTGGCTCGATGAATGTTGACCCAGACTGGGACTCTCGACGAACCGTCGAATCGTTCTCGACCAAGACAGCTGCGTGGCAACGCTGTTCTCTCTTTTTATCCCTGGTGTTGCAACAACTTGGATTTGCCAACAAACACTTCGGACTAGCGCGAAACTACTAATTCGTTTCCTTGAGAACTCCAAAAATGCCGTATTAAATATATATATATATATATATAGGTCGACTCCGTTTTTTTTCCCTTTATTCTTCCTCCACCCCACTTGTTGTGTCTTCTCTTCTCTCTTCTTTTCTTTTCGTTTCTTTTTTGTTATTCAAGATAATGTCGATTTGGGTATCGCCAGGCCGAAAGGAGTGAATGGAAATTTTTTTTAAAAAAAAGGAAGAAAAATATGACGTAATTAATTAATGACAGGAAAGAAGGGCAAAACTTGACACGGGGCTAGGCGAATTTGTTTCACCTGTACACAGTGGCTCTGAATTTCAGCTCTGAGAGGGAATCCACTGAGACAGTCAAGTGCTCCATCGAAGTCTTGAGGGAATAGTCGAAGAAGTGGAGGGGCTGCAAGGACAAGCTCAGACACTAACTGGGCAGCGGAGCAGACAGAAGTCGATGAAAAACAAAGGTAAAGAAAGAAAATATGACGGATAGTACATCAACTTCTTTCTTCTTCCCTTTGTATGTTTTTATTCTTCCCTTTAAGAAACGACTTTTTCGACGGTTTTCTTTTTTGGAGGAAGGGCTGCACGTTGTCTATCTAGGAGAGCAAAAAGAAGATGCCAGCAGCAGGGATGATGACAACTCGGGATGGGATATTTTGCAGACGCAACCTGATCAAAGACAAATAGTTAACGAAAGCGGACTAGCAACAGGACGACGAGGGCGGGAATTCAATTCTACAAAGCCCAGCCGGATATTTTTCAGGCGACGAGGGAAGAAATTTGGTGGTGCGATGCGGTGCGGTGCGGTACGTGTTGTCCAGGGCTGTCTTGGAGGCGAGAGATTCCTGCAGTGGGGTAACCGAGATCACCAGATCCGGTTGGACAGTCTGGAATTCGGGGCCCGGGAATGGTTGGTTGGAAATGCAGGTTTTAGTGCGAATGGTTGGAAGGGAAATGTGGTCCCGAGAGAGAGAGAGAGAGAGAGAGAGAGAGAGAGAGAGAGAGAGAGAGTGTGTGTGTGTGTGTGTGTGTGTGTGTGTCTGGGTGGTGTGGTGTGGTGTGGTGAGTGTGGGAGAGAGCGTGGATGCAATAAGCACGCGAAAGACAGCCAAAACGAAATCTAAAATGGATCGAGTTTGGCTTGTTTGGCGGGTGGGATTTGGGGTGTGAGGAGAAAAGAAGAAGAAGACGACGAAGGAGGAGAAGATAGTTATCCCTGCCCGTCTCTTATTTCTTTTTTTCTTTTTCTTTTGGTGGTATTATGTAGTGGCAGTTCGTTATCGATAGCGGAGGGATAGGATAGGTGAGGAAAAACGGCGGGCTTAGCGATTAGATAGCGTTGGGGGTGAACTCGGGGAGGCCGCTGGGCGATTGATTTGGAGTAGAACCTAGAGGATGCGAGGTGCCAGGTGCGAGGTGCGGGCTGCAAAAAAGTCGACGCTGGAGACGAGCGATCAATGGTATGAGGAATATACGAATGGCGACGGGAGACAGGCAAAGCGCGGTGGTGTGGTTGCAGTTGGAAGAGGGCAAAACGGTTCAGAGTGGGCGTTGCGCAGAGCTGAACGTCGCACACGGGAGTCGTGGTTGGCGATGGAGAAGCGATGGAAGACAAGGACGAGGACGAGGACAAGGACGGGGATGACGGCAGCAGGACGGTTGTCGTGTTTGACGCAGACTCGAGAAAGGCAGGGAGAGGATAATAATAACAATAATAATAGTGGTAAGGGTGAGAGGATGGAGATGGAGATGGAGGAGAGAAGAAGAGAAGAGGAGGAGGAGGAGGAGGAGAAGAAGAAGAAGAAGAAGAAGAAGAAGGGATTGGAGGCAGACACACAAAAGGGGGGACGGAAGCAGGAAAGACGAGGAGAAGGACGAAATCAGCCACGGGACACACACAAGGAAAGTAAAAAATAATAGCAAGAGATGAAAAAGATCAAAAAGAACAAAAAGAACAGTTACCGGCTTGCTGATGACTCGTTATCAGAATAAATATCAGCGGGACAATCCCGCCGAGGGTCCTTTCTTTGGAGTAATAAGTTAAATATGTCTTATTCTTTTATTCTTATTCTTATTCTTATACTTCTTCTTATCTTGCGATTCTTTTCTTTATCGTGTGCGCACAAGATTTAAAAATTTCCCGTCAGGCATCAATCTCGCAAATGCTAACTTATTATTTACTTCCTTTTCTTTATTCTTCTTTATTCTTCTTTATTCTTCTTCTTCTCCTTCTCCTTCTTTTGACATTTTACGCTCTTCTTCTCTATCGCTTAACTTATATTTTTGTATTATTTCCATGTTATCTCTTTTTATTTTTCAAACGTCAAGTTCAACCGCCTGCCTGAAAATCATCCATCCCATCCCATCCCATCCCTGACATTTCCTGTATCAGCATTGGTGTTAACCAAGCAGCGACGAGTAATACACGCATCGCCCACGGCTGCTGAAACATCTCCTCATGTCCCAAGGTGTCTATTATTCTTATTACTATAATATATGTTATCTTCCCCTTTAAATACCTCTACTGTCACACAGAACAAAATAAATAGTAATCATATCATAAGTCATCCTATACAAATTGTTTACTTTTTTTTTTAAGTTTTTGCTACCCGCAAACCGAAGTTACATGATCCATGGCTCCAAAGGCGTTAAATAAAAAATATGGAATGCTTAAAAACTATGTTTCGCGTTGCATTCATCTCAGTGAACAACAGCAACAACAACAACAATCAAGCTCTGAGTCAGCCGGCAAAATAAAAATAAATAAAAAGGAAGAAAAAAGAAAAGAAAGGAAAAAAAAAAAAAAAATTCCAAACCAAAATACAGCCTGTTGCCACACATCTCTCTCAGAAATATTTATTATCCAATTCAAATGCTCCATCCATCCTCATCTCAAGGGAGACGCAGGGAGAGAAGGCAATCAATATTAATCATGTAATCTTGTCCTTCGCATTCCAACCACCAAGCACTGCACTAGGTGGTGAGTGACTCTTCCTCTTTTTTTTTTTTTTTTTGTTTTTTTGTTTACAAAAAAAACCCATTTTCAAAAATCCGCCAGGCTGCATCATATTAAGTGGAGAGTTGGTTGACAGGGGGAGGGGTGGTTTATTATTATTATTATTATTATTATTATTATTATTATTATTTGTTTCCCCCTTTCGCGGGAAGAGAGGCAATCAAGCAATCGACTGGGAAAAAAATATATGATGCCATCTTCTCTCTCCTTTATCATTAAAACATCTAACTTATTATATATAGTTATAGTTATATATTCAAAGAAAAACCCTATATGAGAGGTTGAATATCCGGCTCTTCTCTCCTCTCTTCCCTTCCGCGCCCCCCCCCCCCTCCTCCTTCTTCCTCTCGACGGATAAATCAAATAACTTACTGGAATACTGCCGAGCTGAAGGGAGTGTAAAATAATATAAAATATATAAAAATAAATAAATAAATAAATGGAAACGCGTCATCATTGGGCATCGCGCGCATGAAAAGGAAGTGAAATTTTTTTCTTTTTTAAAACAAACAAAGAAATAAAAAATAAATGAAAAATATTCAACAAGCAAAAATAAATAAATTTAAATAAATGGAGGGGTAGTGTAGTAGAATAGGGGAGGGGGGGGACGGACGGACGGGATATGGTGCGATGGAGGGGCACACATAATATTAATATAGAAGAGTATCGCATCGCAATTCGCAAAGGGCAGCTCAGCTCAGCTCACAGGCAAAACATTTAGTTAGCCCTTTTTTTTTTTTTTTTTTTTTCCTCCAAAGCTCTGGTTATCTTTTGCGTCATTCCCCTCCCCCACTGCCGGTGAGCAGTTTTGCATGATGGTTACATATGAGAAGAAAGAAAGAAAGAAAGAAAGAAAGAAAGAAAAAAGGTAGTTAGAATTCCCTGTCTATAGATAATTAGAGATTGGTCTCCAAGTTCCACTTTTGGACCGGAGAGATCGAAAGAATGCAACAACATCCATTGCCCCCTTTTGGGGGTTGCGGAAGTGCGCAAAGGGGGAGAGGGGGGGGTTAGACAAGACGGACTGGAAAAAGGGTAAAATTGGAATGAGACGATGATGACATTATTAGTAGTTATTGCCGCACGGTCAAATTTCGGGTTGGGTTGCTACTCTTTTGATATATATTTTTTTTCTTCCTTTGATTCCATGCCTAACTACGGAGTAGTTACATAGAAATAGAATGTAGCGAGATCGTTGCTCCGGCGGGTAAACTAGTTACTAACGTAAAATCCTAGGGGGGTGGTTATCAAGCCGGTGATGTCAGCGCGGGGCGAAAAATATATATATATATATATCTAACGGCGATGAGATGATCTATCTCTGATGCAGCCGCACCGCACATCATCACATCTTCATTAGCCACCACTACCCTCAGTGTGATGTTGGGGGGAGGAAGAAAGATGAAATGAATGAATATTAATGGATCAGGGATCATGGATCACGGGGGAGACGTAGAATTCTTCTATCTAACCATCCACCATCAGATCCAGGATGCCAGGATGGAATACCGGGCGGGATGGTTCAACTTGGGTTGGCGGGCTGGCTGAGCCTGGCCGGCAGACTTGACTTGCTGGTTGGGATAGAGTGGCTTTTTGGGCTTTTGGACTTTTTGGCTTTTGGCGTTTGAGTTTTGTTATTATTAATTGTCCAATCCTCTCACCACCACCTGCGTAATCCAAGAGATCTGGCATATCCTGCCTTATTTTAGGATTTGGATGTAGTCGTTACCAGGACGTTGATATCCGTGGGTACAGGACAGTCTCAACATCGGGCATATCTGGTATGACTTTCAATTCCAATCCACTGATTGATGGATGGATGGATGGGATGAATGAATCATGGGATTGTCCATCCCGCAAAACCAGCTCCCGGAGCGCAAAAGAAGAAGCGAGCATTTCATTCCGTCCGAATCTTTCCCTGCTGACACCGCCCGAGCAGCTGGTAGGGATGGGCGATCAGGCTCGTCATTGGGCCGCAAGCGTTTTACAAAAGTTTTGCAAAAAAAAAAAAAAAGATGAACAGAAACAGATCATGAAGAAAGTAACTAGTTAGTTACTCCGTAAAGGCGACAAGAAACGAACGGGATCCGAGCTGGGAAAAGTCTCCAGCGCCACGGCCCACCATTGGGCAGCGATGAAATCAATCCTTCCTCTCCCATCCCCATTCCCCATTCCCCATTCCCAACCCAACCAACACTCAACCCTCCCTCCCTCCCTTTCTCTCTTTTTCTCTCTCTTTTTCTCTCTTTTTCTCTCTTTTTTTCTCTCTCTCACTCTTCACACACACAATATAGGCCATGGAAAACGGCATCCGACTAATTCTTGACATACCACACCAGTGGAACACACCACTCACTCACTCACTCACCCACCCCGCAACGCAACCCCTCCTCCTCTCTGCCCCTCCCCTCTCCTCCCAAATGGAATATTCCAACCAGTCATAACAGCGAACCACAGTCCTGGACCGCGATGCGATGGTAGCCTGGAGGCAGCTAAGAGGCCGGGGCTGGGGGAGGGGGGGGGGGGGGGTTGGAATTTGTTCGCAGGACAGGCTAAGGATAAGTATGTTAAGGCCTGGGGAACATGAGCGTGAGCGTGGCGACCAGTACTATCGACAGATTCACGTCACACTACTACTACTACTACTACTACTACTACTAATAATAATAATAATAGCTCGAAAGGGCATCTGGCACACTATCCAGCATCTCATCAGACCACAGTAGATATAATACATACATACAATCATGAGGTTAGACATAGTTTATTTTAATTTCCATCCTTTCTTCACAAATCACATAGCGGACTTAACTACAGAAGTAATGATAACTATAACTATACTCAGTATCCCAGGATTTTATCTTCATACAGTTAGTTTGTTACCTATGAGAAGCTCTACCGCATCGTTTTGATCTCACAAGCAAGTTACTGAATATCACAACCCACTGTTCAGGATCCAATCCTGTCATCCTCCAAATGAAACGAGATCCTTTGAATACTTCATCTTGTCTAAGCATGGA